GACTGTATTGACAACAGTCCTCTATTTTCTGTTACAAACATACCAATGCCTCGCCACTAAGCAAACAAAACACGCCAAATGAAATGGCATGGCCACGGCTATTTACTCACGTAATTACTAATTAAATTTAGTCTGTTTTTCTCACGAATTAGACACGTGATTTCCTATTTTTATTTCAGCGAGTTCTTGCTTCATTGATCTATAATTTGTTTATGGCGATTTTTTTAAAACTGTAGTGAGTACAGGCACTAGCTTTATCAGCTGTTGTCTGAAACACCAGAACGTACAACAAACGTGATTTGGACCGAGGCCACGTACACTAGAGAATACGATTATGTAAATATACACATATTATTATCACAGGCGACCCAAGCTCTCTCTGCGAGTTTTTTCTTTTTTTTTTTTTTTACTTTTAAAGCAAACGTTCAGCGTAACGTGACATCTGGCATATACTATTACATAACGACCCAGATAACGACCGAATTTGACCACGCGAAACGTGACTCTGGCATTAAAGCATATGGAGGTGTTGTGTTACAACGGTTTGAATTTATAAAGGTTTGTATGGGAATGCAACGGTTTTGCTTGAAAAGTCAAATTTTACACTAATACTGAACAGACATACGCCAACATGGAAGCTATTTGTTTAATTACCTTTATTACCTTTGTCTATGAAAGCTCCATACTTATGACCTTTTAAACAAATGTATTTATATATCGAAGATTTAAGCTGATTCATTTCTTTTTCTACTTCGATCTCACTTTAGAAAAAGCTTTGCATTTTCCAAACAAAGGAGAAGACGACTTTGTTGGTATATCGGGCATGCGCAGTTTGAAGGCATTTACCGTGTGCCTGTGGATGAGTTCAAGTGACACTCAAGGGACTCCTTTCAGTTACGCGACATCAGTCTCGGATTTGGGTAACGAACTGCTCATCGAGTTCCATGAGCATTTTAGTTTGGTCATCGATGGTCAACACAGGTAACATAAAACTTAGTAATAGACGCGGCAAACATATGAAAACCTTGTTCCCAAGGTCCCACTTCCTCCCACTCCAGGGGACCGAAAGGAAGACTCTGGGACTGACAGATGAGCAGAGAGATGACTGATTGACCAATGAGCAGATATTTGAATTGTTCATCGGTGAAAAAAGCATGTCTCGTAGTTAGAAGAATAAACGAAAAAAAAAAATCAACATTCAACAACAACAAGTAGCGCCAATCTCACGTTTACAGTAAACATTGCAAAAATTAATCTTTCCACATGGTCATGAGCCGATGACCCTGGCATAGTTCCATATCATACAAATGGCGCGATGAAATACTTGTTCAACACTTAAAGATCAGGGCCCGGTTGTTCAAGAAAGGGTTAGATGAACCTCCGGTTAGAGCTAATCCCAAGGTAAATTTCTTAACGCTAGGTTTGGTAACTGAAAAAAGCAGAGTTTGCCGAACACTGTGGGTCGATTAGTTAACCTTGGGTTAGGGAAATTGCGCTCCCGGTCAGCATCTCATAATTTCTCCTTTTGGTTTCGAACACCGAATGCCTTCTATGGAGTCAAATAAAAAAAGAAAGCGCCCCCGCTAGTGTATAAAGTGCTATATTGACTGAGAGTAGATCAAAAAGATGGGAATAGCTCGAGTGTCAGTGGTTCAAGTCTGTATCAAGCACGCAGCTATCTGTCACGGCAATCATCAATAATGACAGAATTTCGTTATAGGCGCAGTTTTTACGGCCATTTTTGTATTCATTGTGCCCTGAGAAACAACACTCTCAAATTTCCTGTATTCAAATTAGTCGAGTTAACAAACGTCAACAACGCAGTAAAAAAAGAAAACAAAACAAAATGAAATGAAAAGAGCAAACAAAAACCAAAACAACAAAAACAAATAGATAAAGCATGTACAGTTATTCATCACGAATTCCTAGATGTCACTCAAAAATAGCATCGGCTCACTATGAAAGTTGTTTTGAGTTTCTATACAGCGATCTGACTGAAAGCAAAGATATATGAAGTGATCATATGACTTTTTAAAAATCGTAATACCGTAGCTTTACTTTTGCATAAACAAAACGTAAATACACAAGAATGAAGTGTTTTGCAAATAACAATTTTTATGCACCATGTATACAGTAATTTACTGTGCCTTATTCTACACATTTCAATAAAATTGTAAAAGATAAACGAGCGGTATAAACAGAGAACGTTTCTTCTACAGCAAGACAACAGTGTCAGCCAATGATGGTGTATGGCATCACATCTGTGTATCGTGGGAAAGAAGCTCGGGATCATGGACATTCTACAAAGATGGTAAAATCAAACAACAAGGCCAGCTCAAGGCGGGCCATACGATAAGAGAAGGCGGCTCTTTGGTGCTGGGGCAAGACCAAGACTCGGTCGGTGGTGGTTTTGACGCTGATCAATCATTCAAAGGAATGTTATCAAATGTCAACGTATGGGATCACAAGCTCACTGACACACGAATCGAGGAGATGTCAAAATCATGTCTGCTGGATGAATGGAATGCTGGAAACGTGTACAGATGGGGCGATTTCCTGCAAAAAGCCCCAGCGAGGCTTGTAAAAAAGTCTCTTTGTAACCTGTCGATAACTGGTACGTGGCATAACCCGCACAACATACACTTTGACAAATACCAAGCAAACTATTAAACGAGGGCAAGAGTCAAGTATTTCCAATTTAGGTTGGGTAAGGGTGAGGAAGGTTTTCGAGAGGACAAAAAGCTCTTTTTTTGTCCGAGTGCTATTCTTCGAAGCATGCGGCGTTTTGTGAGCCATTATAAAAAAATTAAATGGAAATATATAATGATAAAAAAAACTCTTATTTTTCTGAGAGCAATCAGAAGAGGAAGTTTTAAAGTTTTATAAGAAGTTTGGTGATGGAGGCCGGATTGTTCAAAGTCCGATTTAAGCTAACCCAGGATTAGCGAAAACTTTGATTTCAGGTTTTTAACTTTTAGGTCAGGTTTTCTGCTGATTTTGTTTGTCATCATGTAATCTCAAACTATTCAAAACAAAAGCAGCGAAACACGTTTTCTTTCTTTTACCAGAATTGAAACTTCGGTTAACTTTGAATTCTGGGTTAGCGTTAACCGCCTTTCGAACAACCCGTCACTGCAGGTTTTCATTTGAAGGGCATAAAAATATTTCGTATCTAAAGCTATGTTCACACTTGGCCTAAACATGTTTAGTCTGATAACGAATGAAATGTTTCACCGCGAAAATTGCTAACATCAAATAGTACATTGCATGAGTAATGATCCAAACAAGTCTTTCTGATCATGCTTGAAACCACATCATCGTGCTTGAAACTAAATTTTTGTTTCAATTCAGGGCTGATGAACAGATAAAATAGGACTTATCGGCCATGAGCAGAAAAAGGAATATTTGGCAGAAACGTTGCGGCAAAAGTTAACGATTTCACAGTTTGCAAGTGCCATAAAACCACATAAATTATAATGAACCAGGCACAAAACGAATTTGAAACGGACACGTAAAGTGAACAATACAATTTCAAATATGTTTCGGAGAAAGGTGTTAAGCTTGCATCCATTAATTATATTCATTATTACTAGTAAAGCTTATTAGTCAGGAACATTTAAAAAAGTGAATATTTTAACCTGACCCATCTCTTATTTTTCCATGTCACTTTAGAAAAAGCCTTGTATTTTCCAAACAAAGGAGAAAGAGACTTTGTTGAAATATCGGGCATGCGCAGTTTGGAGGCATTTACCGTGTGCCTGTGGATGAGTTCAAGTGACACTCAAGGGACTCCTTTCAGTTACGCGACATCAGTCTCGGATTTGGGTAACGAACTGCTCATCGAGTTCCATGAGCATTTTAGTTTGGTCATCGATGGTCAACACAGGTAACATAAAACTTAGTAAGACGCAGTAAAAAGATGACCGACCCCCTTGGGAACTCCTATTTTTATTAATTTGAAAAGTTACATACATTTTTCTGTAAACACATATAATTCATAAACAAACAGTACATCATACGTTTACCTACATTCACGGTACATCATACATTTACCCGAGTTGAAATAAAGTTACTTACGCACGCACGCACGCACGCCTCAGTTCCTCTTAACTCTTTTGTACTTCTAAATGTAGAATTGATAGTGCTAATACTAATACAGCGCAGCAACAACTTGCCCCATTTGATTTAAATGCTTTAATTGAAGGTAGAGGTTTTTTCTGTCGACAAGAATAATTTACTTTTTAAGAACTAACAAAATGTGGTTGTCCTCGCACCTTAGAATGCCAAACGTGATATTTTTGTCAGAAAGGTGTTCTATCTTGACCCCTTGATTATCAAGCCATTATATAACCATAGCCCAGAAATTCTGAGAATAATGGCAAGAAATAAAACTAGTGAGACATTTTCAGATAGTGCTGAGTGCAATTTACGGCTCTGATACAGAAGTAACACAGCTCCTCACCCCTGAGGTTCACTCCCTTGGTCGTAATCCTCCTCATTCAATACTATCTTGATGACACTCGTCCAGAAGCGAGAAAAAGACGAAAGAAGTGGGCTGACTTGTGCTAAGTCGCACCGAAAGAGGGAGCCATCGAGGAGTTCTTCGATCTCGAGTTCGCCGCTACTGTAAAAACTTAGTGATTTTCATGACCTGTATATTCTTCTCTAGCTTCTAGTCCAAAGCTAGACATTATCAAGATAGATCAGTAAGACACGAATTTGGGATAAGCTGGGAGCCATCTGACTATTCACTTCAAATAGCCCCAAATACCCAGACCAAAATAATGGAAACAAGGTGAGAAAAGTTTACGGCAAATTAAACGCATCTAGTTTTTTGGTCCTCGAGATAGAGAGTTATAGAAACGAATAGTCAACGACACGTAAGTCCTAAAACGAGGCGATTAAGATTAGTGAGGCTTCGAACTGCTGAGCTAGCAATGCATTTGTGGATTTTAAGAGCCATTGCCTGTAAATATGGAGAATCCGACGACAGGTCGGAAAATTCGGATTTTCTTTTATTGCGTCAAAAAGACCCTTTTGGTGAACTATTTTCAGAACTGTACTTTCAAAGTTCCAGCGAGTTCACATTTTTGTGAAATCTAGCAAAGTTCGAAATACCGCACAATCA